CAGTCTATGTCAAAGCTTTTGCTGAAGACATCGTCTAGAAAGACTGCAAAAGCCTGTCAACCAAAACAATCAGCTCAGAGAACACAATCGAATCATATTAAAGAAAGAACGAACATATTTGAAGACAGGATAATACGAGCTCGCTTTATTTCGTCGATTCTTTCCAATTGCCCACATACTAAACAAAATCAATTATATGTTACAAAATAGTGTCTGAACATACTTTTTAAAATGATTTCAACCTTTACATAGAATGTATAAGCAATATAATTTCAGTGATGATGTAAGTAGACAATTTATTCAGTGTTAAAAGGGTAACTATTTATGTAGAAATTAGACTATGGGTGTGAGGTAGAGTTCAGATTTAGTTTGGAAGCAGATATTGTAACAACAGAAGGCAAGATATGGAAGCCAAAGTATATTTTTTCATTAATCAAACCGCTGTTTATACATGAGCAGTTTATATTCTTGATTGGACATTAGTCAGTAACTGGTGTAATGTGTCTAGCCCTCTGTTTCGTGCAGACTGAATTCTATCAGTCAAGCTTGCAATGTGGCCACGATGTCACTAGGTGGCTCACCATCACGGTGCACTGAGAATTGTTGGTATTTGATGGTTGGAGGCAATCGGAGGGAAGCGTTTTTAAGACGTAGGTTTCGTGCTAGCTGGCATTCGTCAGCAAGCCAGGCGTACCTGTAACCTTGAAGGAACTCATATCCCTTCTGAGATTCTAACCTAAGTCACCCAGTGCCACCTGCAGTCAGAGACATTACCACTGAGTTATCCGGGTTCGCGATTGACCTCCTGTAGGACAGTAGTGAATACTTTGATTGTACACTAGCATCTAGTGTGATGTGTCTGGTCCTTTCTTTGGAAGATGCGGGTTCGAATCTCAGAAGGGACATAAGTTCCTTCAAGGTTGCAGTTACATCTTGCTGACTGGTGAGTGCCAACTAGCAAGAAACCTAGGTTAGCCAAGGCTTCCTTATGATTGCCTTCAACCATCAAATACAGTTTTATATTCGTTAACCAATCGTTGAGCGTGTGATTTTGGTTTTTTACATAAAATGAAATGAAACAGAATGTTCGAATAAACATAGTATCATGTTGTCAATACAGCAGGAGTGAAGTGTGAAAAAGTATTCTGTCTCTAAAGTTAAGTTGAATGTTCAAATGGATATATTGTATTCTGCTGCTAATGCCGAAATGAAACTTGGGAATATGTGAGAATCAGATTCCTTTGGGAACAAGAAATTATGGGAATCTACAAACAGGAAAGAGGCGGTCGCTCAACAATTATGCAGGAGAAAGTGGAGATGGATCGGGAACACGTCACTGAGGAGGCCACCGAATGACATCGTAGGTCAGGCCATCACTCGAGTGAGATCCAAATGGGAATCGACGAGTATGTCGTCAGTGCGAGGGTGATAGTGGAGGAGATCGTTTGAAGAAGAGATGAGAGAGTTTGGTGAATCGTGGGGCTAACCAGCTGAAGATGACGGCAGAAAACAGAATAGAGTGCAGATATGTTGTTGAAGCCCTGTGCTCCACTCGGAACGCAAGGGAATAAAAGTATTCCGTTGGCACACATTGTCCGTATGATACCATCACAGTATGGATTAGAGACAGATTGCAAGATTGAACAACAGTGTCAATCCATACATATTATGATGGAGACTTCAGGAGGGTGGGGGTGAATGGTGAATTAAAATTGCAAAATAGATAAAATAATTTAATTTAGTAGATTTGGATACTTAACAGTGAGTTCAGCTCGGTGAGTGGAAATCAAAATCAAGATTGAGTGGAATGTTATGTATGCAACAGAACAAAACACATAAGCACACTAACAAAACAGTGACGGTTACCAGGTCGCGTAGTGAGAGATTAATCACACTGCCTTTCTGTATACAGAGGTTGGTTCGAAGTCTTTTGGTGATGGCAATGGCTTCTACGAACTGAAGTCACCATGCTTTTCTTAGTGCATTGATTGGTTATTTTGAAAGCATGACTAATTTCCACTGTATGTCCAGTGTCAGTCAACTATGTGGTATCTGGCAGTTGCCCTTGAGAACTTTTTTCTGCCTTTCATAAGAGGAAACTTTTAAGGATATGCTCAGAGAATCTAGGAGACTCGCCTCTCCTCTCAGGGCTTCCGATGTACTTGCTACTGTAAATGCAGATGAATTGGTCATACAATTTACTCAGTTGAATAGAATCAATTCATGAAATAAAACGAGCTCGAGTTATCTTGTCTGAGAGCATGTTCGTTCTTTCTTTATACACACTAATAAAGGAAACCAGTTGTAAGAAATTCGAATCATATTAATAAATAAATTTTTTATTTGATTCTATGTATTACCATACTGTTTAAATAGCTAACTAGCGTTTTAATGATTTGAATTCATTCGCCTCTCTGAATTGAGTCAGATGAAGTGAATCAGTAACGAACTCTTTCCTCAACGATTGAAAAAACGTTCTAGTGTGTCTGTCTGTCTGGATTCAATATAGAACTTGGCACCGAAGGGCAACAGTTCGAGTTGTCACGTTCCAAAGAGCACACAAAGGTAGACAAGAAAATGAGTGAAGAGAATCAAGAGAGTTTTGACAAGTATAAGAATGAAACAGAAAGAGTAATTGTAGAAAGGAATATGAGACTGAATATTACAGAGACTGAATACATCTGCGCTAGCCATTGACAACGATTTTGAGCCATGTCACCTAGTGTCTCCAGCCATTGATTCTTAGAGTCCCGAGGGCAGGCCCCAACCCGGAAGTCTGCATCTCCCTACCTGACTCAGTTTAACTGTCAGGGATTTCATGGATTGATTGATGCCATATTTTTGTTTGGCCACCACTTACTCTTTTCCAACCTGCACCTATATCAGCTAGTGATGCCCATCGGGGAAGGCGATGGTTAGGCATGTGCAGCACGTGACCTAGCCATCTCAATCTATGCAGCTTTATAGCCTCTTCGATTGATTTTCCCTCTTTGCCCAACACTCTACGCCTAACGTCAACATTACCTACCTTATTACACCACCTAACGTGAGAAAGAGATCGTAGATATCAATGACCAAAAACAGACAACCTTTTCATGTCTTCAACTCGTATCGGCCATGTTTCAGAGCCGTAGAGAAGGACGGAGCGAACTGCTGAGCAGTACACACGTCGCTTGGTTGATAGCCGGATGTCACACCTATGCCAGAGATGGTGTAAGTTATTGTTTTGATTTGACACTAGTAACTAGTGTGATGCATCTAGTCCTCTCTTTGGTGCAGACTGAAATCTATCAGTCAGGTTGCAATGTGGCCACTATTCTAGGTAGCTCCCCATTACGGTGTACATTGTTTGTGATGATATTGGATGGTTGGAGGCAATCGGCAGGTGTAAGTTAGCGAAAGCAGCTCGAGCTTTTTGGATCCATGCTGAGATTTCGTCACCAATCAATCCGTTGGTGCTGATGCAACTTCCCAAATAGGTGAAGTGGTCAACATGTTCTATCACTTCACTCCCTATCACTAAGCAATGGGCAGACGTAATCCAGTCCTGTAGCAGCATCTTACATTTTACAGGGGCGAATCGCATGCCAAACATGTGAAGATTGCTGCTCAAGGTGTTCAGAAGACTCTGCATTTTGTCAGCATCCTCCCCTAACAGGACAATGTCATCTGCATATTCTAAGTTCATAAGACTATTCCCTGGTAACAAGTCGATTCCAAAGTCGCTAAGTTCAGTTAAGGATACTTCCATTAGCATATCTATGATGAAGTTAAACAGAAATGGGGAAAGTGGACATCCTTGACGGACACCACTAGTTGTTAACAATTCAGATGACAATTCCCCATAAGCCCTTACACGACTACGTGAGTTTGAGTAGAGTGCCTTGATTAGTGCAATGTACTTTCTTGGCACTCCCTTCACAGTCAAACATTGCCATAGTACCTCTCGATTCACGGAGTCGAAGGCCGCCTTCAAGTCAAGAAATATTGCAAGTGTGTAGGTCACCTCTAACTAGCAATGGAGTGTGACTGCCCCAATGACCTTGAAACGCTCACTGACCAAGTTAGTGAAATCTCGCAAATAATGTTGTCATCATCAATAAAATATCCCCAGCGAAGTGTCATGCTCTTAAATGGGATATCTGGGAAGTTTCAGCTTAGGTTTGAGAAAAATTAAGTTACGCTTTAAGTCAGGGACAAGTTAGGATTAGGTTATCCTAATAAAGGCGATATTAGGGTTGGTTCGAGTTACATTATAATTAGTTTAGGGATATTTTCTCGTTAGGGTTAGGTTAAAGAAAGATTTGGGTTATTGTTAGGGTTAGAAGACCTAAATAATTACTTGCGTAGAATGTGGTTAAGTTGCTGTGTTGATATAAGAATAGAACTTGTGCGTTGTGGTAGAGTATAATTCCATTGTGGGCAAAATTTATTCTGATAAAATCTCAGTGTTGTTATACAGTAATATTTACTGATGACAACGTTTCGAGCACAGTTTATTGCCCAGTAAATATTACAGCATAGCACTGTGAGACTTTATCAAAATAAACTTTACCCACAGTGGAATTATACTCTGTTGATACTCCGACCTAAAACTGAGAGCTATTTTTATCAAATGTGAGAGGAAGGTATCCTCTGTAACACTTTTCTACAGTTTTTATCCATTTTTTTCTCATAAATATATGCATTCAATAGACAAAAATGCCTCCTTCACGTGATTGGTGCTTTCAAGGCTGTTGGCTGATTGGTAGTTGGTGGTGCTTAAAGTTTAACTTTGTCCAATGCACCATGATGTAACAATTAGTTTACCATTTTACAAATTAAAGCTTTATATAAAATATTTTATCTAGCTACAATTAAACGGACACTTATTGAAGTGAGTGCAGAAAAAAGGTTTGTCCAATTCCGGATTCCATTATGGGGTAAATAACTCCTTCATACTTTTTGAATTATATTCATATACATGCACTTATTCCGTTTTCCTTTGACTATATTTTCAGTCTTCTAGGTTCCATGTTTCCATTGCCACGTGTTTTGTATGCTATGGCTACAGATGGGTTGTTATTCCGTTTCTTGGGTAAAGTAAACGCACGTTTTCAAACTCCATTGATAGGCACTATTGTATCAGGTGTCACCGGATGTAAGTAATATTGTTTTTAGATTTGCTACCTGTGTGTTTTCATTGTGAATAAAAAGCAATTCATGAATTGGATGGAGGACTTCATCATGAGGTAACATCAGTTAGAGAACCACTGGAAAACCTGCAAGGAGTACTGGACAGCTAGCTGTTTCGTCTGCCTAGTTTGGGACTCTTCATCAGTACGCACCCATCGGTCTATTTGGTCGCCTTGTAACCAGAAGGTATTGGGTTCGAACGGTGGTGATGGGTGCGTACTGCTGAAGAGTCCCAAAGTAGGCAGACAAAACTGCTGGCTGTCCAGTACTCCTAAGTTTTCTATTGGTTCTCTAGTTGATGTTAGTTCATGATGAAATCCTCTAAACATTCAGACAAAATCTCTACAAAATCAATACTTGAAAATTAATGAATTCGGGGTAAATTTTGTCATGAAGTGATATTGCTTAGAGAATCGATGAAAGCTAGAACAGCTTTCCAGAATTATTCAGCAGTCTTCATCTATAACTCTATCAAGTATTACTGGGTCCAGGATCTTCAGCTTACGAGGGGGGTGCGTTAACTGTTCACTCACCGGGTCGGAATGGAATGGTGTACGGATTCCGGCTTTTGTTAATTAGCAACACTTTGACTGCTTATTTCAGTGTGAATAATTAGCTGATTGATAGCGTGCGTGTTCACCTGACAGCCTGAATATTCTGGCTTTGATCTCCTGTAGGATCGATCATCAGTGAGTACTGATGAAGTGTCTTAGACTAGACTAGAACACATCTGTGGAACCCTTCTGGGTTTTCTTTAGTTCTCTCCTAGTAAAATAAATTAAATCCCTTACAGACCAATAATTGTTGGCGCGGGGAGGGAGGTTCACTATTTTCTTATAAACTGATTAGCCAACGAAAGTTTGGCGATTGACATTTGCAAGTTTGTCATGTTGTATTAAAGTGAACTGGACCGGTAAAGGAAGTAGGAATATATGAATAAGACGAAATCAAGAGCACTCTTTTCAATGTTGCCAGCTACTTCTTACCTTTCATTTTCCATAAGCTTTCTCACTAACGCACACACGCACGTAGCTTATCACTAATCCTCTCAAGACATTACTTGATATATTACTTATATCTATTTATAAGTAGCACCACAGTGTGTAAATAAACAGCACAACTAATTAATAGTAAAAAGGACTGTAGTTTATAATACACTTTAGAATTAATAATAGGAAGATGTTTATAGTATAAGAATGTTTCTCAGATGGGATTTGCCTCACTAATGGGTGAACACTTCTGAAGAGTCCGATAAGTCAAGACGAAACAGCCATCCAGGGCTACTTGATTTTCCAATGAATCTCAAGCTGCTGTCAGTGGATGACGGCATCTACTGTTGAGTCTATGAAACTTCTTCAGACTTAATTACGTATGTGTATATATATATTGGGTTTGTTAGACAAGAATAAAAATTAGTTTGGGATATTGAAATAATGGAGAAGGTTTGTAGCTCAGGTGGATGATGATGAATTAGTTGTGTTCTCTGAGAAGCTGGTTGATTTAACTGCAACGCTTTCGTCGTTTCCTCTTTTAGACAATATCGGTTCAGCACAGATTTTAGTGTAAAATTATTATGATTATTCCCTAGCGTTCCGAGTGGAACATGTGGCTTCAACAACACATCTCCACTTTGTTCGGTTTTCTGCCATCTTCTTCGGCTGGCTAGCTCCATGATAGACCAAACTCTCTCATCTCTTCTTCACACGATCTCCTCCACTATCACTCTCACACTGACGACACATTCGTCGATTCCCATTTAGAATCCACTCAAGCGATGACCTGCATTGTGCGCCATATCATTTGACGGTCTCCTCAATGGCGTGTATGCCCGATCAATCTACAATTTCGCTTACATATTTGTTGAGCGATCGACTCTTGTCTGTTTGTTTGTTCCACTAGTTTCTTGTTGCTTATTCTTTCTGGCTGGCCATTTTATCTTCAGTATGGAGCCAGCCAGCAAAGTAAGCAGCTGTTGATGAAAGTATGCAACAACCTGTTGGAAATCCTTTTCGTGACATGCAGTGCAAGTTTCTCATCCGCATAGAAGCACTGACCGACTTCACATTTGTGCTGAAAATTCAGGTCTGGTTCCTTACGGTGAGTGCGGAAGATTTTCAAACTGGTTTCAGGTTGATGAAGGCGTTTCCTGCGTTTCCGATTCTGACTGACTTTGACATCTTCATCTGTTCCGCTGGCCTGTGGTTGAAACGATGCTTTCTAACCAGATAAGTGAAGGAGGCAACCTCTGTTAAATCTCTCTGGTTGATGATGATTGGTGCTGGTTATTGTTATTGTCTCGGTTCATTGATTATCTTCACCACCTCCATCTTCTCTGTGTTCACCTGGAGTTATGTCTTCGCTGCCAGCCCCTTCAGCCAGTTTGTTGGTTTTCGGCTGCCTGACTGCCTGCAAGTCTTCGAGTTTGTGCTACACTAGACATATATGATCTGCGAAACTAGTATAAAATGGACTTACTTAATTTATCCGTGGATGATGTAATTGTATCTCCTCGCAACCATTGTCGTAACTGGATATTAATCCACGTCTCTCAGTTGATCATATATTTATTAAATTGAAATTCAAAGAGATTGGATATCCTCACAATTTCATCAAAAAGTGTTTAAACCCGAGTCATAACATCAATAACAAGCCAACATCAAAGATCACAAGAAAGTTCTCCCTACCAAATATAAAAAAATCTCTGAAATAACAGCTAGAATATTAAGACCGTTTCAAAAAGATATAGCACATAAGCCAGCCAACCAGTCAGCCAGCACAATCACTTCATTCCATATTGTGTAAACCAAAAGATCCTACCAACAGAAAAAGAATATAAAATAAATACCATTTACAAAACAAATTGCATGCATGAACTGCAGTAAAAATATTACGTCGGCGGTCAAAGTGGGCCTCCCCTTCGAATCCGTATACAAGGATATAAAGTAGCTGTAAAAAGACATGATATCCATATTCTTTCACATCAGTGCATGTAGATAATTATGGACACCAATTTGATGATTGGGATAATGTGGAAATTTTAAATAGAGGAAACAGCAAAAATAAAGCCAGGGAATTTCTAGAAGCCTGGTACTAAAGTGAATCAACAAGCATTTAACAAACACATTTCCTCTGCAGACCAAATTTACCACTAGATAATGAAAAGTAAATCCCATGACAAGAAAGTTTGAATTCCAAGTCAATAAAAATATGATCAATAGAGAGAGAGACGTAAACGAACATCCAGTCACAACAGTGGTCGCCAGTAGATACAACTAGATCATTTATGGAGAATGTAAATAAGTTCATTTTATACTAAAACCTGCGCTGAAGCGATGCTGTCTAGACGGGGGACGATAAAAGCTTCTCAGTTAAGTCAACTAGCTTCTCAGAGAATACAACTAATTCAATAGTCTCGGCTATTGTTTACATTATCAGAATACCTCGAAAATGTGGCAAATAATTAGACTATAACCAGAATGGGGGCTGGAGATCAGTAAATTTAGACTAGGGTTATGTAGTATGAAAATATTCGGGGGAAAAATGCAAAACGTAGTATTAGTAATAAATTATTGACAACAGTTGAGCAGTTGTACACATATATAGGAAGAACAAACTTCAGCGAAGAGTCTCTTTTCAGCGGCGAGTTCATTCACTCAGCTGTAAAATCACATTTATATATTCTCTATAGTTGGTTTGTAAGTATTAGATTTGTTTATACGAGTTTGACCACGGATTGATACCAGTTAGAGAACCATTGAAAACCAGCACTGGAATACTGGACAGCTGTTTCCGTTGTCCTAGTTGGGGAATCATTGGCAGTACGCAAATACTGCAACAGGTCGAATCCAGGACCTTCCAGTTACAAGGCAAGCTAGCTCGTGTACCATTCAGCCACTGGGACCCACCTAGTCCATGTATTCTCACTTCTACCGATTCGTGATTTAGCGCAACCCCAACCAATGTCGTCGACAGGAACTTCATCCTCACACTTGACTGGATGGACCTCACTGGTCACGACTTTTCACTAGAACTCCAGGAAAATCTGCCCTTTGACGAGTCGCTAGTGAGCACCACATTAATTTCTATATTTGGTTTGTAAGGATGGTTGTAATGACGGAGTTTCCTGCAGTTCTAGTGAGAAGTCGTGACCAGTGAGGTCCATCCAGTCGGGAGTGAGGATGGAATTCCCACCAATGACATTGGTTTGCACCAGTCGCGCTAAATCACGAATTGGTAGAAGTTACAATTCATGGACTGGCCAATGAATTGGGTCGAATCCCAGTGGCTGAAGGGTCTACGAGCCAGCTTGCCTTGTAACTGGAAGGTCCTGGGTTCAAACCCCGTCTGGTGGGTGCGTACTGCCGATGATTCCCAAACTAGGACAACGGAAACAGCTGTCCAGCACTCCAGTGCTGGCTTTCAATGGTTCTCCAACTGATATCAATCTGTGATCAACTCGTGAAAACATTTATATATGATTATTTTGTGTGCATGTGTGTACATTTGGATTGTTAAACAAAAATGAAAATGAAGATTTGTTGTGGTTACTGTTTGCGTCATCAAAATGTTTCTAAAATGTGATGAACATTCAAAACTGTAACTAAGTGTGGGGGGGGTGACGACATTCAAGTATTGACAAAGGTTGCGTAATATGAAATTGGATGTTACTGGAGACACATGTCCAAGAAATAAATTACGTAATAGGCAGAAACAGTAAATAAAAGGTTGGTTATGCAGATGTCATACAAAAATTCAAAAAACAAAAATAAAACACAAACATTATTGATAAAGTAGTAGAACTTGGAATTATCCCAAAAGTTGAAGGAGGAGGCGGAGAAGTTTCTTCTGTGTACATAAATTAGGCGTTTCTATCCAAATCGTTAAGACCTTAGCAATGCAAAGTACACGGAAGCAAAACCGCTGTTTTTTGAAAAGGTTTCTTTTGACTTTATAGATAACTTTAAT